CGAATAAGAAACATAAAATTTGATAAGCGAAATAGATTAATAAAATATAATATTGGTGACTTAGTAAAAATTTCAAGATCTAGTAGATCAGACGCTGATAATAAAGTTATGAGTAAGTTCAATTTGGCATATGAAGGACCTTATGTAATAGCAGCCGTACCATTTGACAATGTATATACCTTAGCAAATCCAGAGACAAACGAAATTAGAGGAATTTTCAATGCTATTCACTTATTAAAATATTTTAAATAATAATTTCTTTTTGTATAAATTAGTGTAATTAAATAAATATTGTAATATAAAAGGGTTTTGTGGGTGGCCCATGGAAATAAGTGTTTAAGTTAAAGGTCTAAAATTATTAAAGTTATGAGCAAGAGATTTGTTATATGATAGTAGAACGTTATTAATATATAATGAAGAGTTGTAAATATAGATCGTAAGATAATTTTGTAATCATTTTTATTAAATAAATATGGGAGTTGGGTCAGGGCGAATGGCTCAAACACATTTATCCTATGTGGTATCGAACTGACCTCAACAAATATCAAACTGGATTGTATGCACATAAAGTGTGACACTATCGAAATAATGTTTCAAAGATTTAAAGATAAATTAATAAAATAAGAAATCGACAATTGACTGCAAACTTTATTAACAACACGATATACAATAACTTGATGTATGGTGTTATCACATTGTGATAATTGTGGTTGAAGGGGTGTTAGTGGCGGCCATTCTCTGGGGTAGGGGGATTTGATAACATATGCCGTATTGTAACAGATTAAAAGAGGAAAGAACAGATATATAAATAATTATTTGAGTGTAGTGTATATGCTCTCAAAATATTAAATTTTATATTAACGACTCCACTATGTGGATCATTAACATAAAATTTGGGGGTGGATTGTGACGCCTCATAATTATTATTAATAAATAATAATTAAATTGATTATACAGACATTTAAAAATGTCTTAGAAATTATAATTTAAACAATAAAATGCAAATAATAAGCATAGAGTTCAAAAATATCCATTTGGAATATTGAATATTATATATATTAGTAAACGCATAAAATGTCTCTAAAAATCTCTAAATTTATTAAAAACCTGCTTAAAATGTTCAAAATGTATCAAATCATATAAATACAAGGCGATTATATTGCAATAACAAAGATAAATAACATTTGTAATATAATAGAAAAAATGGATTAAAATTTTTCTAAGTTGATGAAGGTGTTCGTGTAATAATTGGAAAATTTCTAAGTTAATGAACGTGTTCTTGTAATGTTCCCTTATATTGGGGCGTTGTCGGAGACACATACCCAAGGTTGTACATATATATGGGGTGGTCGGCTGACCGACTGCTAGTACTAAGGTTGCACAATGACTAGTCCTATATTAGGGACTTAACATAGTAAGGTCTGACGAACCAAAGCATTAATATAGAAGGTCTCTATGATGCATAAGCATTATGATAGCAGAGTTATGACTTGAAGTCCCATATGAATAAGACATACAGTAGTATGGTCTATGAAATAAAGCAAATATGTGGAAGGTCTCAAATATGTAAAAGCATTATATTGAAAGAAATGGGACTTGAAAAGGATTATTATAGTGGCGTGTAGGTTGCTTCGCAGCCTCTGAGACCGAGGTAAACTTGGACTCACTAACCGATGTGTCCTAGACATATCATCTTAGTGCCGGTGGTAAGCGGGTTTGTTGTAGCAATACGACTTGCCCGTGGACATCGCACACCCCTACCGGTTGTGGGCGGCGTCTTAGCGCATAGCGTTATGATACGTCGGCTATCTTTCGGATTAGGGTGAGTGTGTTTGGTAGTACTTTTAAGTGCAGCAAGCATACTCAACTTCATGTCTTAGTGCAATAGCGCTATGATACGTGGAGTATTGGCTACTGACGTCTTAGTACCGTGCTACTATGATACGTTGGTGGTATTTTTAGTTAACAACATTATCAAATTTTGTTACCAAAGTCGATAGGGATCATGTGGGTGTGTTGTGAGGGGGCGCCATCCGTATGATAGTTGCATTGATGCTTACTGCTACTTGCAGTATTGTGTCTTGTGATGGATCTACGGGTGTGCTGCACCTGATTCGATGCATCTTGTGGTTCTGGTCGATGGAGGTATGCGGGTGGTGAAGTCTGCTGGGACTGTATGGGGGATCTTGGGATGGTGTAAGCCCGACGATAGTCGTATTGATGCTTGTTGCATTCTGTAGCATTGCGTCTCTACGATGGTTGTTTGGCGGGTCGCTATTCTCAATGGCGCTCTCTGCGTCTTGGTTTGACTCACAACCTAAGTAGCTTTGCCCAAGTCGGGTCCCTTCATTGCGGGGCTGCAGACTGTCTGCCCTCCATGATGTTTTATATAACAACTTAATAATATATCTCTATAAAGTTCCCACCTTTGAGAGATTGAAGGCAACTTGTTGGTGGGTGAGACAAACATGATCGAAAAATGCATATACTCAACGTCAGTGACACAAACCCTTTCTGATGGCGAATTATTAATATTATCTTATAACTGCCTATTGGCTATATCTGCCATTGTATTGGTTGGTGGAGCATATGTGTTGACCTCATGCGGGTGGTAGCTGGAGGGAGAATCTGAGGAGGCTCTCAAGGCTGCGGCCGAAAGCCGCGCAACGTGGGACCCCATTCCCTTGAGGTGAGCGGTAGACTCATGACACGCTCTGCGGCCAATTGGCCGTGCTGACCATGCAATTGGTGGTGATGCCTTACACTTACATCACGTCTGCAGGAACGGCGGTCTGGCAGGTGGTGGCGCTCACGGAAGGCTTTTTATGGTCAGTGTGCCTATTGTTGCCTAACCCGTGTGACGTACATTTCACTGTTGGCTGGATTTGATCGTATTCTGTATGGCGTTTACACGCATTGACATGCGCGACTTCGGTCGATGTTTGTGCTTACGCACTATCAAGGGGCCAAGTCCTCTTTTACTGGTTCGCCAGTTATTTTGCTGTGGACTACGGTCCAGTTCCCAACTTTGCGTACCCTTCGGGGGGAGCGCATTAAAATGGTTGGCGCTCACCGTGCGCGGCGTGTGTGGGGCCGTGTACCTCCTCCACATTTTTTTTTAAAATGTGGGAGAGCGAAGCCCTTGTAACTGGTATTTGATATAAATATTGTGAGCCTTTTCCAAGCGGGAAGGGATTAATTAATAAGGAATTGACTGTTGTGAACCAGATACAAGTGGAATAGGGACAATTTATTGTTCTTAACCTTTTTGAGCTCTGTCTTCGTGAACGGGGTTCTTTAGCTTATAAGACTCTACCAACAGCTTTCGATTGCTCTCGTGAATATTCATTCTTCCAAGATACACCTAAAAGAACTAAGTTACTATACAAACACAACGTAAAAAAGGGACCTAACTAAGACGATCACGCCATAAATTTATTAAACGGCCTATATTTAAACCTTTAGAAAGATCAAGTTATACTGGTCACGTAAATTAGATATATTTATATATCTTACAGATATAGATTCAAAAGAAATACAAGTATAAGTGGATATATAGTAGAAAAGAAAAAAGATGGGGGGGGGGGGGTTCGTTACAGTACGATAAACGAATCTTTAGGTTATATTCAAATTTTTCAGTATGTCAAATATTTGAATTGGCGCGTAACCGCAACGATGCAACGCAATAACTGCAACACGGTCTTCTTTAAGCGTCCACTCCATATTTAAAAATGAGTAAAATTCTAAAAAGTATACAGTTTTATTTTCATGAACAATTCGAAATTCGAATTCAATAAATTTTTTTGTGGCCAGCATTCTAAAAGAAAAGTTTTTACTGTGTGACAATACTTATGACCTGACTAGGTATATCCATCAGTGCACACAATTATAAATGGTTTAACTAAATTTCTACTATTTATGTAAACTATATGGCCTTTTTTGGTACAGATAATTAGAACTTTTTTTAATATAGCAATATGTCCCATCAAATATTACAATAGGCCTATTTTCACCTTCAAAATAACCAAACAAAGCATTCGGTATTGAAAGATTTCTTTCTTTAATTTCTTGCCTATTTATATGGTTTAGACCTAAGGATTTCTTTCAACCATTTTTCCAGAGTTCGTCTGGACACTTTTAATAATGATGACAATCTATCGTTAGAGTCACCTGACCTTAGTTTAATTAAGTAAGCAGCCAAAGCAACAGACCCTCTAGGTACTTCCGTTAACGGAGGAACCTCATTAAATATTTGATTAAACTGTACTTTATTCAACCCAATCCAAGTATGTATAACATGGTCTTCCAAATCATCAATACTTTCAAAATTAAGGCACAATGAAGAAGAAGAATCTTTTAAGGACAGCATATCCTGAATATGAATTGCAGTAAAAGTTTGCTGATAATTATTTCATAAACTTTCAAGGAAATCCCACGATTCAATTACTAAATGCCGATCGCAAAACCGATTGTTTTCAGGTACATAATAATTATAGCGATTGAGTAAAATCTTTTTTGTGGAAAGAGGAACTCTATGCCTTTCTGTTCTGTGACATCCTTCTATAAAACACCTACTTTCTCTTTCAATAGCCCTCATGTAGTCTGGTAACACAATAGTCAATTTAGATTGTGGCAGAGATGGAAGCACAGGTTCAGGCATAGCTTCTAGCATAGTTTGAGGCGTAGGTGGAGATTGCAATTGTTCTTCCAGTGGTATAATGGGAGTATCTAGTAGCTGGGGTTATATTTGAGGCATGGTACTTTGTCTAGAGGTTGATGGCCCAGAAATCATATGAACAGCAGCTCTGTCAGCTAACACCCAACAAGAATGGCATATGCGACTGGTTTCCGCCACCTACAATAAATAAACAAGATTGAATTTGATAAAAATGATGAAAAAATCTAAAAATTTATACAGAAAAAATTAGCTGATTTAACTTACAGTTTGTGGCATAATCCATTCTCGAATAACATTAAAAATTCTCAATTCACGAGGTGAATTAGTTTGAAGTTGGTGAGTTGTGATGACAACGAACGTCCACAGTGAAGTGACCTACTGGTCTCGGTTCATCTATAGATCGTCTACCTAAGACCACCTCTTGAGCTAAGTTCCAGCAGGCCTGACATGCATAGTCGTTGTTGTTTACCTGAAAGATAAAAGATTATGTAAAATGAATGTGTGCAGTGAAGCACTAAGAATTGACTGTTTATCAATTAATTATGATCAAAGAATAGTACTTACAGGTTCAGGTGCACACCATTCACGGATCACAGATAGAGTTGCTTGGTCAAGTAAAACTCGTTTGCCTATTGTATTACAGCGACCAGTCGCTATGCCACAATTAACATAACGGTCCATGATAACAATATCCAATCGATAGGCTGTCTTATTCCAAATAATAAGGCCGGGTAGTCGTATAATTAAGATTAATCGGTGTCCAATAACGAAGCAAGAGTCAATAAAAAGCAGGAACAGTAAGTAAAATCGCGAAAGAAAGCCGTGGATAACAAGTAAACGGAACGAGTCGAAACTACAAGTCATAGATAAATATATATGTAGCAAGCTACTACAAGTGAGTAAATAATTTTGCAGTTTGTACTGTCAAGTATCAAAACGAGAAGTACTACGAACTATTTAGAAGACGTTAGTCTATGTATCGCTCCAAAACAAGAATTATACTAGTGTGTCGATTCTATATGTTAATCGATAGATTGTAAATAAATGTTTATTTCATTTTTTCCTTATGTAAATAACGTATTTTTATTTCAAAAGGATCCAAATATTTTCATATATTCAAAATAATATACTTGTTTTAAATTAAATCTTAATAGCTTTTTTAGTTTATATTTATTTTATATCCGAATAAATGTAGAATCGATTGTATTAATATAATCGATATTCCAAATTATTTCTTATTTTAATGTTTTTTTCAAATTCTAGATTGTAAAATGAGCTAGTTTTTTTTTTGTATTTATACTCAGAAAAATAATTGTTTATATTTTTCTTTTTGAAGTATATACCAATTTGTTAACTTCGGGCCCAAAAATCCCAGAATCCCAGAAGAACAAAGAAATAATAAAGATAAAAATAAAGAACAAAGAAATAGAATAATGAACACGTAAAATACTATCGAATTTTTGTTGTTATATTTTTGTATTCTTTTCTATATATTTTTTCTGTTTTATTAGCTGAGTTTTTTTTTATGAGACAAGGGTGCCATACGAGCATACAGTCCAATGCTTTCTCAAGCACGGGGGTGAGACATCCCAACTTCCTGACGACGGGCAGCTACTGGGAGTTTCTTGACGGAAAAACTCAATAACTGATATTTTTCATGGATCGGTACCCTGGACCTCATCATCAGCAGTCGCGTTCAGAACCACAAGACCAACAAGGTAGTCAGTACCAGATATACCCCAATATTGATGGTACTACTCGTTGCAGTTCTGGGTTATTTACGTGTGGCGTAAAGCATATAGATTATATTGCCACCTATCTGAGGTCATGAGATCTTTCCAGCATTGACTTTAGTTATGAAATTTGTTACCAGCATTGTATTCCAGACCGAATTTCGATCACGACGGTGAGTCTCAACGGAGAATAGCCATCTGCGCAGCGCAGGGTTATAGTGTATGATCAATCACAGTTGCACTCTGTGTTTGCTCACTCTCATAGTAGACGGTGATCCGACTTAATCGGAGATAGATATCAGGCGAAAGACCAACGGCTTATCGTGCTTTCCGAGGCACGGGGATATAAAAGGTCGGGAAAAAGTTTCTTCCTTTTTTATATACAAAATCAAGACATTTTTTTTTCAAAGTTTAATTACATTGAATTCTAAATATTTGTCATTTTGTTCGATAACTTATTGCCATCGTGTAGGTAGTGACATAATCACGTTGCTATAGAAATCTTAGGTTTTTTTTTAAAAAATGCGACAAATAGTTTTGACAGTCTTCTCTTAATGTTAACCTAACATTACCCAAATAATTCTGAAGAGACCGAAACAGGTGAAAATCTGAGGAAGCAAGATCAGGACTATTTGGGGGATGCATTAATACTTACCAATCAAACTCTCTCAATACTTGCGGAGTGGCCAAAGATGTGTGTGGTCTTGTGTTCACCAAAGACCACTCCTTTTCTGTTGATCGTTTCCGGCCGTTTTTTCTCAATTTCTTGCTTGAGTCTCATTTTTTGTTGGCAGTAGACATTCAAATTGATGGTTTTGTCCGGCGGTAAAAGCTCATAATAAACGATGCCCTTCCAATCCCACCATACATACAGGATCACCTTATTGCGGTCTGTGGAGTTTAAGTACCCTTTGACCATGATCTTTTTCATACGTTCTTGACTTAGGTATTCACTTTTTATCACCATCGATCAATCTTTTGAAAACTAGTTCAGTTTCAGTACGTTTCAATAGAGAATCGCAAATGAGTACAGATTCATTAGGTTTCTTTCAGTGAGCTCATGTGGTACCCAAATATCGGGCTTTTTGGTATAGCCAGGCTTTTTCAAATGGGTAAAACTGTTTTATGCTCAATTTTCAGTTCCTCGGCTATGTCGTAACTACTTAAATGCCGATCTTGCTTCCCTTTTTCAAAAATGGCATCGACTTTACCCGCAGGAGGGCGACCAGAGCGTTAGGTCCATAAGCGTCACAATTTTTTTTCGCGGCTTGAGACGCATTTTCCCTCTTTTTTGTTATAAAACTTCAGAATGTATCGCATTTCTTCGTTAGATTCACTCTTTTTGCGGAGACAATTGAAAAATGGCGGGAAAGTTTATTTTTTACTGTGTTCCTTTTCTAAATGTCCTATATGTATTTATCTTAAAACCAGCCAGAAACAAACAGTTCAATCAAAGGGATTCATCTTCAATATTACACTAACGAAATACGAAAAAACTTTTCCCCGAACTTTTATTATGGTTGTAGCATGATTGGGTCCGCTCGACCGGAGAAAGATCACGCTCTCACAGAATACCAACATGAAATAGCAAGTTAATGCTGTCCTGTTTCGTATGGTGAGTGAAAAAAACAGGAAACGCTAATAACTGGAAACGAGGAATTCCATCTTAATCCTTAGTGGTGAAAACGTATCTGTATTTTGGTCCTTAATGGAGGATAGATGTAGATGTCTATGGGGCACAGCATTTACTTACCATAAAGTGGACTGTGTGCTCATTTGTTACCCTTATACTATAAAAAACACAAAGGTGAATTAAACACCGCCAAATTCCTGACTCCGAACTGCTACTGAGAATTTCTTGGCTGGTAAACCCAATAACTGATTTTTGACCGACCTGTCTGATAAGCAGTCTATACTAAGCAATATACTATACGTATATATAGTAACTGATTTACATAAAATAATAAGTGAGTATGCGTTTAGTTGGCGTGGCGATTGCCAAACTGCTTGTGAAGTGTGGCAACTATGTCAATCCCTCCTATCAGCTAATCTATACGGGAGGTCTATGTGGTCGACTTGTGGATAGGCTGTATTAAATGAAATTAAATTAAAAGTAAAAAAAAAACTTTTTTTTTAAACAAGCTTTTATTTAAATGCTCTAAAAATACTTTTCCTTTAAAACTTTTACTATCAACTTATACCGTCATTACATAATTTATATGATATAAAAGCTTGTCGCGAGATTTAAGTTTCTACTCATTTGTACTTATTAGTATTTACTTAGTGTGAAAATTTTAAAAATTATATTCAATCAGATCCTGTTTATCTACACAGGTAAATCTCGCTTTTGTCAATTTCTGGTGTTCTAGTACATGTTGCAGACATTTCACGTGTTTCGTCTGAGGATCGGGGTCTGTTAACATGTTTTTTTTTTATTCTAGGTTTACCCAGTCAACATAAGCTTTTTCATAACACACTGTTCCATTCCCGTCTTGTGTATTTTTTATCTGATCTAACTCCTAACTAAATCTATATAAAATGTTAACGTTGACGACACTCCTGTAATTTTTGTTATAATTTTATTGTTTGGTTTTATTCAACAAAAATTGCCTGAAGAAATAAAAATGGAAAATGCTTGTAATAAAAATTTGAAATAAGAATATTTTTTTAAAACTGAGGTTGTTGTTAAGAAATAGAATAAAAATATTCCAAACAGATTCAAAATGCAGGTATGACGCCTTGAATTATTATAATTTTATTGTTTGGTTTTATTCAACAAAAATTGTCTGAAGAAAATAAAAAAGGAAAATGCTTGTAATAAAAATTTGAAATAAGAATATTTTTTTAAAACTGAGGTTGTTGTTCAGAAATAGAATAAAAATATTCCAAACAAATTCAAAATGCAGGTGTTACGTCTAGAACTATTTTCTACCTGCATGAATATGATATATAGTAGTTCTCGTGAACGTATGTTGTGCATCATCTATCGCTATAGTCAACTTATATTATACCCGTATCTTTTTAATTAATTAGTCTGTTTCCATGAAATGAGGTGAGGGATTTTGTGCGAAAACGAGGATATGCCAATGTCTATGAATTGACTGTGATAATATGAACTATTTACAATTATGTACTTCCCCAAAATTATGAAGCTTTAGTTCAATCGTCGAGAGGCTCTCGAGAAGTTTAGCTTTCCTACTTGTTCGCAACTGTTTTTTAAAAACCCTAGATGGTTAGGTAAATAGCACTGCCATTTTTACAACTACCTATCTTAAAAATAAAAATAATGCTTTCTGCCATAGATATAGCGTCAGTTTATACTAAATTTATGTTTTCTATAGTCTAATGTTTGTTATATTTAGTTGAAAAAAAAAATATTAGATTATTATATTTTCAACCTTATACCCTTATTGACAGTGGATAATTTCTTTCACTTTTTGATGTCCTAGTATCTAGGTCACTAAAACACGTGTTGCTGGGTGTTCTTCGGAGATGGCTCCATACATACAAAGTTGGAAAAATTCCACTCCTAAGGGAGGGAAAATGCGGATGAAGTTTTTAATATTTATACGATATTCTAGTTATTAATTTGAGCTTGTCATATTTTAATAAAAATGAAGTGACAAACGAACTTAAAGTCCACCTGATGAGTGGCTGTAGCAATCCATGGATACCTGCAGTCGACTTCATACAAAGAAGGCTACAGATGCGTTACTACCTCTGAGGGCTAACTTACTTTACCTGGTAGAGCCATGCTGCAGCTATATTAGTGGTACAGTTGTAGCACGAATGGGTCGACTCGACCGGGGAAGGACCACGCTCTCACAGAATACCAGCGTCAAATAGCAGCTTCATGCTGCTGTGTTTCGTATGGTGAGTGTAGAGAACCGGAGACCCTTTTTACTGGAAAAGAGGTATTTTATCTAAGTCCTCACGGGTGACAACGCG